TGGTATATATACTCTAAATCTGGCCTATTTGATCGAGCATTGTTTTTTACCATAACTCGACAATCAAGCATAAGCTTGAAGTTGGTAATCAACTTCCTACTTTAATTTCTTGCATTCTGTGTATTTCTTGGTATTTTAATATCATTAGCTTCTTTTATCTTGATTTAAGCGTGTCTATATCGTGTCTTAAGTTTCTACACAAAAAATGTCAGGTTTTTTGCATCATCTCATCTCATCTATTTATTAAGGGCTTATATACATCAATACTACTTAAAAAAATTGGCTTATTTGCCAAATAACCTGTCCATGACTGTCACTTATCCACTCGTGTCGACTTTTAAGGCATTCATATTATTGCAACATAATTGTCCAGAAGTTGTACTCAGAACCCACTATTTACTGGTCAACTATTTGTTAACAGTGAAGAATCATCTTCTGCCATTCAGGTTAACTACCTGACTAGCTAATTAACTCAACCAGAATGTAGAAAGAATGATTCTCTCCATTTAGCAGAGCGAAATTCAACCCTTTCAATACATTATGTACTGTATTCTCTAGAGTTTTGCCATTATAAGTTAACTACCTTTGCAAAATACATTAACATTACGTTAATCTCTTCTTCCATTAGATAAAAATACCTTTTAACCTGATAAAATCTTCATAATTCAATATCTGCTAAAGGGCTTGACTTATGGCAGTTTTGATTTTAGTTCATGTAACCCGTTAACGCTCCTCTCAGGCCTAGTTTTAACCAAGCGAGTTGATACCTGATCCGCTTACTTAATATCAGAACTATATCAATCAAAACGTCTATCAAGAATATGGAATCTAGGAACAACATTCTTAGAGATACAAATTTTCAAAAACCTAATTATATTGAAATCCTGGCGGAGGGTTTGTTAGCTTTTAATTAGACGAGAAGATATGATAGGAGATTCATACATTTTTATACAAAATGGGGGCCACACCAAAAATATATTATTGGCCTATGAAATTTTATTTGACAAGGCAAGCTGGTTAACCTTCAAATTAACGCTCGAGTACATTTTGCCTAATTAACACTGGCAGTAAAATAGTTTTTGTAATGGATGCACATGTTTCCAAAACTGTCTTCTAAATCCTTAATGGCCCAGAGTACTTTTTGTGACAACCCCACTTTGACTCAGCATAATTTACATTTTTTAGATAAATCGCTTCTTATTTCTAAATTCTGTATCTCAGCGTTTATATAAACTATCTTCATTATTCATCCTAGTCTTCTGTTGATTTCTATCATTTCTTATTTATCTTCTGCTTATACAGCGTGTTTTATGTCTTCTACGAGCAGTACCTGACTTTGACGTACGATTTGATGTTACAACTGAGCCTATGCATCGGCTCAATTGCTATTGTCACCTTTTTATTGCTCGGCCTCGACTGGGTAGCCACTTTGATGGTGCTTGTCGGCGTCCTCCTTGTCACACTCAGCCTGGTCACCATGATGGCTCTATGGGGCATTGAACTAAACGCTCTCTCTTTGGTCAATCTCGTAGTGGTAAATATATTTTTGTCCTTTGGTCGACTCGCTTCTTATTTTATTGCACGCGTAGGCAGCATAAAAACTTTAGGTTCTTTGATAGTCCAAGAAATGTCTTATATAATGTCTCTACCATGAATTATTATTCTAATGGTCAGGACTTTGATCAATTCGTCAATGTACAAGATGCCCCTACAGCTACTCAAATTTTTAAGCCATTATAGGATATCATACCTTTTTGGGCATAAACTCTAGATTACATCATTATCTAGCATCCTATAATAAATTTTTACAGCACAAGCTTGTACTGGCATGTACATTAAGAATAAAAATGACTGCAGTTCAACACTTTCAGTTTATGGCCCTATAAGAACAAAAGTGCTAAAATTTTATCAGAAACCTGAATATATTCCAGATGTTCATTAGCTAAATAATAGTATTAATATAGTTATTCTGTTACCTGAATGTCAGAATGGCATTTCATTTAAGCCAGTCATTCATCACCTTAAACGAAATAGGGTGAATACGTCTCATAACTGATTAATAGGTAGTCTCAAAACTCTTTTTCTATACAAAAAATAAGTAATGCAGTCGGTTGTTATAGCTTCATCGACAATCCCACTAAAGCATGTGGTATGGGAAAAGTTCTGGCTTTCCTTGAAATTCACATCTGCCCTGTGGCTCAAGGGCACTCGTGGCAATGTGGCTGGGTGGTAAACGTATCAAGCGCACATGCTGCACTGTGATGGTCCGAGTCCCACTGGGGGTGTTGATACGACCTATACGAGGCCGAAACTGTGGTCCACCTTGGATGAGGACAACTTTTGGGAAAGCGAGGCTGTGTAAAATTCAATGGAAACGTCAGCTCTAGTCATATCATTGTAGGAAATTTTTACTACCAGTCCTTCATCACCTTAAAAGAAATAGGGTGACTACATCTCATATTACTGATTTACTTGTAGTCTCGAAACTCCACTTTTATATGAAAAATTGTATAATAATTTACTTTTCTCACGACTTTAGTTTTGGTTGGTGTCGATATTGTTTTGTACCTCTAATTCAAAGAAACCCGTATCTCTGAATAGCATTTATTTTCACGACAAAATATTTGATCGTATTGGATCGTATTGTCTTTCTGTACGCCATTAATAAAAAGCATAGTGAACTGCTGTGGCTTATGAATATTTTATTACACTTGAATTTTCTTCTCTCGTAGGCAATTTAC